TCTAACATAACAAGCCTACAGGGAAAGCAACTGAGTCACAGTGGCATCTGAGATTCTCGGAAAGCCTACGTCCAGTCCATATCCTTGGCTCATCTATCCATACTGTGAGGCATAGCACATGGATGTATCAATGTTACCACATCACATGATCTCCTACTGACTAGTCTGTAGGAAATGTAATCCTTCTATGTGCAACTAATAGGGTTGGTCTTTAATCCTCCACAGAACAAGTCTTTACTGCAGGTTCAAGATTCAAGTTATTTTCTGCACGAAGCACATTTTTTTTTCKTGCATATAAAGTTACAAACTCTTGCCTTTTCATTTGCTTGCAAAAATGATGAAAATAACAGGCCAAAATCTTTATCAAAATCATAATCTCAAATGCAGCCACGTCAAACATAGTTCCCAAATTTAGGAAAATACAGGTTTGCAATCASCAATTGATCCTTAATTCTGCTACGTTATGCATTTATGATATCAGGATTTCTTAAATTACCTGCTGACATCTTAGTGTTTTTCTACCAAACAAGGTGTCATTCAGTTGAATGGCTACATGGTATTGGGAATAAATCATGTAGAGAATTAGGCTRTTGTTTGTAGTATTCCTGTCTCATATTAGTCGCCCTTGGTACATAAATAATCAGAGAATCACAAAATATTATCAGCTTGAAGGAGCGCACAAGGATCATCAAAATCCAACTACTGGCCTGCACAGGACAGCCCCAAGAATCACACATTTACCTCAACAAATAACATTATTTTAAAGTAATGTTTGGGACTCATTGTAATTCTCTGTAAATTAGATAATGGCCTTTTCATCCTGAAAAGAAGTCCAGTCAGTCCTTGACTGGACCAAGTTTGTCCTTCTCTACATCTTGTAATCCAAAGTGACTCACGACACCCAGCGGTTATTAAAAATAATGCAGGCATACAGAAGCCACACAGAAGGTGGAGATGCTTATCTCAACTCTCAGGTTCACAAAATTAAGGTGCAACTAGAAAAATGAAGACACTGGATAAGTTCAATCCATATTAAAGAGTCTGTAAAGATGGTCTTAACAAATTCAACTCTTATGACGCAAAAAACCTCCCAAAGCCACCACTACCATCTGAAATACAAACCCAAATAATTTTTGAACCCTGGGGAAACTTGACATCTAGCCTACTTTGAGCAAATAGTAGCTCTTCCATGACAACCGTGTAGATTTTTCCATCAGAAGAACAACACTATCATGAGATTTCCCTGACAGCATTAAACTGATTAAGCAAAGCTATCCTTCTACACCCTGTAGCTTTCCATWCAGTATACTAAAGACAAGGGAGAAAAGATGACTATGCTGGGGAAGTGAGGGAATACAAAAGGGCTTGCTGCTCTCCAGAGTACTCTGAAGTGCTGCAATCTCTTCCCAAATCCTCAGTTGGCCCAAAAGTCTGGGAATTGCAAAGGGGATATTTCTTCCACCTTTTTTCTCCTCCAACACAAAACAGCACAGAAGAACGTAAGAGCATCGATAGTGCTTTACTCTTGATATGCCATCTCTGCTAATAATTTATTATTTTAAAAGTAACATCATTCTGCCTTCCCTTGAATCGGATACATTTATGGAAAAGATAAAGTTGCAGATGGATATAACAATATGGAAGACGTGTATTTTGAAATGAACACATACCTGCAGTTGAAATTTAGAATGAACGGAGCCATTGCTAGAATACCTTCATTAGCGAAAAATCTTGTTAGGTCAACTGTTCGATGAAACTCTGTGACCTGYGATAGACTACAGGTCAGAGCACATGATGACACAATGTTTCCTGCTTTGATATTTATTAAATAAGATACTAATTATCAACAATATCCATAAGTGAAATGTCTTTCCAAAGAGGTTTTGAGCTTTAATATTGTTTTTACGTCCAACAACACACTTAATCTGCAATAATTCATTCTTTTGTTGAGACCAATGAAAACTTAAGAGGCATCATTTGAACAATGTTCTTCTATTTATATATTAAAATTACAGAAGAGAATAATAGAAGGAACAACACTAGTATTAAAAAATCATAAAAATTAGACTGGTTCAATAAAGTGAGATGAATAAAGCTATTTATTTTCAGACTAAATTAATACAATACAGTACTTGTTAAATTGTATTTTGTCTGTGATAGCAAAACAAAACAGTGAGTATATGAAGAAAAAAGATTGGGTACATGATGTTTTCAGACCTAACCTTTCCAGTTSAGACTGTGTAATATGAAACCACATTCTTCTGACCTGGCTATGCTTTACTTCCAAAGTTTGCCAAACATTTCTTCCTACTGCTGTGTTAGGACAAAAGATTCTTTGTCCCACAAGCATTTATGAAGTCCATGCATCAACACCTTTATTAATCGTTCAGTAAGCACACAAGACCTATTATTTAACTACCTTATTGGATAAAAACTTGCCTTTGTCCCTCTTAAGCCATGGAAGATGATTTCTGCATCTTCTCCTGAAAGGATTCAACACCTTTTTAAGTAAGTGTTGAAACATCTAAACTGAATAAACATGCAGTCATACTTCACTCATATTCTTTTCACTCTTTTCCTGTTGTATGACCAAAATAAACCGGGAAGTGAACAAAAAGTTAATACTTATTTGTCAAAACACTCACCTTTAGGGTAAACAAATCAACGACGGTGTAATATCAGGAAAAAGGAAAACATCCTGTTACCACTGACTGTAATCATTGAACTCACACAGTAAATTAGACCTTGGATCAATGAGAATCAAATGAAAGGAAAAGGGAGAAAAGGGGCAATGACAGAAATATCATTAAAACTAAAAAAAAAAACAAAAAAAAACCAAAAAACCAAAACCAAAAAACCTATTTGGAGAAGGAAAAATTCAGATGACAATGTTCAATATAAACCTAAGGTTTAATTCAACTTAATTAAGGAACAATTCAGGGAATAAGAACTTATTTAGAAAAGAGGTCTACTTTGACTATCCAAGAAAAATTCTCTATTAAATAGTATAATATTTCAGTTCTCCTACCTGCTGCCCCTTGGATGAAGGCTTGGTATCACACATTCTAAATCTGTYCTGAATCACCTGAACCGAGCAGCAGGTTGTCTGTCCCAAACACAGGCTTGCTCTCTGGTGAGCTGTTTTCATTGAGCACCCACACATACTCCATATCCTGAGAAATCTGGCCTCTGTGGAGGACAGTAAGGGTTTTCTGGGTATAAGGCAACCCAGGACCATGCCTGTGCAAATAAGATGATACAACAGCATTCTTTGCATGCTTTTCCTCARAACTCAAAACTCCTGAACAACAAGGAATCCAAATCCAGATTCTGGAGATCACACGTCTCACACTGCAGTTCAGATGTAATCAGAGCCAACTCRGATATTCAAGTACACAAAAATACATTCTAACAATAAGAGTCACTGGTGTCCTCTCCCAGCATTTCAGATTGGTAGGACTGGAACTCACCAGTACCATWTTTTTTTATGAAATGACAGTGTCATTTCATGTAATCTCAAGCATTTTTCTGCTGCATTTGACAAGCTGTTTATGAGACTATGCTGAGATTAAAGGTCCTTCTCTCTTTCATGCAGGAATTTATTAGATCTCGTTGATGTCTTTAATCAGCATATTTAAGGCTCTTTAATAAGACCATCATGACCATAAAAGTGTTTCTTTCATCCATTTCTATTCAAGGAAGTCACTGTGTCTTTGTTCAGGTCTTCCATAGAACCTTTTCCGTTTTCTCTAATGAAATGGCTTTCATGTCCAAATGCAAAATATTCTGATATATTTCTGGATGCTGATAGCATTTATGCAGTTTTCAGAACAAGAACAGCTACTCTAGTTATATTCATTGACTCAGGGAGTCACTTCCTCCTATTTAATTGCCCTTGGTTTATATGCAGTTCATGGAAACCAAATCCACATATTAACACACTTCCCAACCATGTAGAAGTTGGTTGTTGTTTTTTTTTGTTTTTACTCATGACAGGAAGAAGTGATTCTTCCCCTGTACTTGACAYTGGTAAGACCACATCTCAAATTCTGTGTCCAATTCCAGGTCCCTCCATTCAGGAAAGAACATTGAGGTGCTGGAGTGAGTCCAGAGAAGGGCAATGAAGCTGGTGAAGGATCTGGAGCACAAGTTCTGTGAGGAGCAGCTGAGGCAGCTGGGGATATTTCACCCAGAAAAAAAGGAGCCTCAGGGGTGACCTTATCACTCTACGAGCAGACTGAAGGGAGGCTGTAGCCAGTAACTGCTCCCAGCAGTAACAGGACAAGAGGATAGAGTCTCAAGCTGAGCCAGGGGAGGTTCCCTGTCTGAGGTGAGAAGGAATTTCTTCACAGAAGGGGTTTTTAGATATTGGAACAGGCTGCCTGAAGAGGTGATGGAGTCACCATCCCTGAAGGTGTTAGCAAGACTAGATCTGGCACCTAATGTTATGGTTTAGTTGGATATGGTGGTGTTAGGTCATAGGTGGGGTTAGGTCGTAGGTTGGACTCGATGATSTGAGGTCTTTAGCAACCTAATTGATTCTGTGATTCTTTGTTTTGCCATGTTTTCCCTCTTTGAGACAAGTGCGAGACCTCTTTGATGATGCTTTCCTCAAATTTGAAGTGTCTGTCGGTGTTTCATCTCCCATTCATGGACTGAGAGAGGCTGCACAAAAGCCTAACTTTCTGTGTGGTGAAGAATTATACATTTTTGCACAGTATTCGGGAGGCCCAGCAGCATTCCAAACGCCGGGYTCTGCTTGCCCGGCCCGGCTCCCGCACACACCCAAAGCAGGCTACGAGCACCCTCAGCACCGCGCTCCCGCCAGCCCGCTCTGCGCATGCGCACCCGGGGTGCGGCGGCCGCGCTSCCTCCGGGGCCGTGAGGGCGGGGCGTGCCCGGGGCGGGCGCGGCGCATGCGCGGCCCAGCGCGGCTGAGCTGTGGCGGCCCCGTGCCCAGGTGAGGGGCGGCCCGGCCCGGCCCGGCCCGGTGAGAGGCGGCGGCCACGGCCGTGAGGGAGCGGTAGCGGCCCTGGGGCCCCGGGACCGTGCYGTACCTGCCGCGCCTCGCCGTGTGGCGGGCGGCGGCTCGAGCCCGRCAACCGGGTGGCTCGGCCCGCCTGCGCGGGTTTTCCTCGCGCCGAAAGAGTCTGGCGTGTGGGCCCGGGAGGCGGTTGGGTGGGATCAGCGGGAGGGACGGCCCTGGACGGCGGCGTGGGCGCCTGGTTCTTCAGGCGGTGAGCGGCGGAGCTCCTGTCTCCGGGGCTCTGGGGTGCCTCTGGCCCGGGGATGGGCAGGAGGGATATCACGCCCGTGCCTCGGAGGAGTGGCACTTCTGGTTTGTTTATTTATGGTTGTGGTTGTGGTGTTTTTTATTTTTTTTTTTCTGGTAGAGAGGCTATGTGTCAGCCCTTCCCAAAGCTGCCCTTGATGCAAAGCTGGTAGATGAGGTATTCTTACTTTATTTATTTCTAGCCCTCTGTTTTTTGTTTTGGTTTGAGGTGGTTTTGGTTTTGGGTTTTGGGGTTTTTTTTAGCATCCCTGCGCATTACTTTCTTAAAAAATTACATTTATTTTGGAAAGGGCTAAGTGATGCAAGCATGGATCCGGACTTAAAGCACATCTTCCATTGCAAGGATAGCATCTAGGTTGCGCTTATGTAATGATGTTTGTTCCATACCGGTTAGCAGGSAGGCAGGCAGGCAGGTAGGTGTGACTGAAGATGGAAAGTTAAAATGATGCAAGTAACTACTTGAGGAAATTTTCTTCAGGTAACCATTATTCCATCGTTATTGTAAAAGATAGTTATAGTCCCATTTCAGAATTTTTTACTGGTGCCAAGATCAGGATTCTGGAGCATACTTCTAACAAACAGTTGGAAGGACCTGAAGAAGAAACTTGCATTTTGGGGTCGATTGTTCCAGAATGTCTGCTGCAATGTCATTTGAAGCAGCTTGTACTGGATATTGCTGCTGATGGACTGCTGACCTGACTATGATGCAGACTTCTGAGTTCTTTTTTTGTATTTTAAATATAAAACTTAACGTGAGACATATCTKCAGTGTGTTAGTTGATAGGATAATAATTTTTACAAATAATAATAGAAATAATTTCTGCATGTCATTTTGACAGTTTTCTGTTAGCTAAACCCTCAAGTACTTTCTTTTAGAGAGGCAGAAACTTGGTCTTTCTAGAAGCTGCCTACCTTTGGGAAGCAGCTGAAGGTTGTGACAAGTATGTAGTGTGGGAGGCCATAATGTTACTACATTTTTCTGATTTTCGTAGCTTTTAGTTTCAGCCTTTCAGTGGTTTTATTCTGAGCGTGGGCATTTCTAAGGCCCTGTGTTCCTAGGAGTACATTGTAGTATGTGTTGCTGTTTTAGCAGCGTGGATTTCTTTAGCCCCCAGTGCGTTCACTGATCGCTCACAATTTTTTCTCTGATAACTTACTCTACTCTTGAGAACAGCCTGTTAACAAAACTGTAGCTTTGCAGGTTYAGCTGTAGTTGTTCTAAGAGCTTCACCCAGCACAACTGTCTGGTTTGTAATTCAGCCCTTGGGACAACAATCTTTTTGTGAGATAGATACAGCCTGATTAACTTCCATTCTTGAAATTAATGTTGTTTATGGATAGCCTTTAATTTTTAGTTTGTTTTATTTTTTGAGGGTAGAGAGACATGTCCARTACATTAGTTTTTGATCTGTGTTTCATTCTTTCAGCATTCTGAGRTTTTTCTGAAAGTCTCCGGTTAGCTCACTGTAGTATAAAAGGAGATACGCAACTATCCCATTTGACTCAGAGGGACACTGTTTTAGTTACAGATAGCAAGTATACACTTTGTGTTTGCTGCTTTATCTTGGTTGCCCATGTTGCTGAACTTCCTAGATTTGGGCATTACATTTTTAGCAGGTCTAGAAACTGTGTTCCTATTTCCCAAGTTCTGTGTGGGCAGTGAGGAATTTTTAGCATATGTAACATAATTCATAATGGAGTTAGAAATGACTGGCGCACTGTGTTCTCCAGGTTAATCTATTATGTACTTCTCTCAGAAATTTTAAGTATGATATAGTCCTGGTTCAGGTAATTGAGTGAGATGGTCTGCCCTGTGCTCTGTAGTCTGCCTTGCTTAGCCACTGAAGAAAGGAGCTGAATACRCTGGGTGCATTGTGCCCCTTCAGATGCATCTTTATCTTCAATACTTCTAAAATACCTTTGATTAATTGATGGCATTCAATAAAGATTTTTTTAAAAAGGAAAAATATYTGTACCATATTTTTTCTTTAGTTAGTTGCCTATGCCTTAGGTGTTTTGGCATCTTTAGCCCATMCTGTGCTAGGCCTAGTATGATACTGTTCTCTTGTTGGTGCAGGAGACTGAAGATTAGCTCATGGAAACTTTCCTGAAATGTAAAAAATTAGCCCAAGTCCGATGGAAACTCAGATCAGAAGATTCCACAAAGTATCAGTTGATGCAAAGAATTGTTGCCTATGTTGTCTACTCCRTAATGAGTTATGAAACATTTATAGTTTAAAGTTTTGCAGGGAGTAAATTTGTTTTATGGTCAACTTTATTTTCTGTTCTAAACGTGCGACAAACAGCAAATGTGAGGCTGGGAGTTTGATAGCGCTCTGGAGATTGCTTCATGGATACAGCAAATCTTCCATAACAAGATTTCCACATTGACAAGCATGATCACTATTGTTGTCTTATATTGATGGAACTTTCTTTAGATTCAGATAAAGTCCTTCTTTGTTCTTAACTGTTTTTTGTAGTTTCTCAATGGAAAAGGTGTTTAAAACTGCCTACTGCACTATGGAAACACACAGACAAAATGGTAATCTGTGGACACCTCTTAGGAACTGTGTGGCAAAGTGACGGAAATGAAGAACTTCAGTCATCGTGTCAGCATGGCGGCAGTGGAATCTGACAAAGACTCCGGATATTCAGGTTTAGAAAATCACTGTGTTACCTTTTTTGTGTGTTGCCTTGCTGAGGCTTTGCTTTAATTGGTGATGTTTAGCAAGTCTGAGTAACCCATTAGTTTGTGTCTCATTACCTTGAGCTACCTTTCTATGCAAGGTAGGTTTCACCTGCAGTCATCCTACCACCAAAGCGTTTTGAAGTGAAATATTTCCTAGTTATAAAGTCCTGTGAATTTGAATGGCATGGGAATTTAAAATTAAAGGAAGTATCTTAGACTTTGTAGTCTAGAAGTGGAGTTGGCACAATTACTTTTTGTTCTTTGCAGTGATGAATGAATTGTTGGATTAAGCTGCCCAGTGTGTCYTACGATCTGACCATATTTTCAGTAGAGCCTGATGAACCAGAGAGCACTGGTTATAACATCTGTAAAATAATAGACACRGTGTGCCATTTTAGTACTCTACAAAGCTCTGAAAAAATGACCTTTAAAGGAGGGAAAAAAACCACTTTTATGAGAGATACCTCCTTTACAGTGGTTTTAGATARAAAATTTCAAGACAAAAAATGCCTGCATCACAAACTACAGATGTGGCATTGCTAAAGCATTGGCTCCAGAAAGTGCTTTCGTGTATCAGTTTGTAGAGCAGCCTTCATGACAGTATGCAGTACCCTGGAGGCTAAATACAAAAGAACAAAAAGTAATAGATTTTTGTGGGAGAAAATGTCTGGATAGGAGCTGACCTGAAATATAAAACCTTTTGTTAGAGGCTGTTTGACAGCTTCATAGCAGCTTTAATTTTGTTAATATTACAAAACTAATCTTTATTGTTCTTTATGACTTGGTTAAAAGGAAGCAGAGTAGTAGAACTGAAAGGCAGTAGTAAGCATATTGCATGTGAAACAACTAACAGGTGAATTCTGCATCTGGCAGATGGAAGTTCAGAGTGCCCGAGTGCTATGGAGCAGACGGACTCGGAGGATGTGCTGAATGCGTTGTGTTGGAATGCAGAGGATGGACCTTGGCAATGCCCAAGGACCACAAGTAGCTCTTTTCCTGCACTATCTTCTATGGTCGTCATGAAAAATGTGTTGGTTAAGCAGGTAGGGAAGAAATAGTATCTTGAAAAATACTGCATGTTGTTAATTTTTTTTTAAAAATGTGTTTCCTTTTAAAAAGGTTTTCAAAGTTTTGTTGCAGTCCAGAAAGTAATGGGTAATTTTAAAAGTTCTGATGTGATTCTGTGTTTTTTGAAAGGCAGCTGGAATCACTAAGATGCARTGTGAAATGGAGAAACTCTGCTCCATCTACTAAACCTCTTTGTCTCAAAGGAATCCTCCCCAAAATACATCTTTAAGAACGTTATGTAAATAGCACCAAAGATGAAACAGAAAAGGGTGATCTCCTTTTGAATGCTACTATTGTCTTTTTCATTCAATAAAGATGGTGATGTAGGATGATAGGTTTGTTCCTCATTTTTAGTTTCAGAAGTGCTTCATATGCAGTGGRAAGCACTAATGCAGAATGTTATAAATGAAGAAGTTAAATTCTTACCTGAAGTTAGCTGTGGTATTTCTACTTTAATAGTTGTTTCCCTTAATTGCATGTGATGGCTCACGTTGCAACAATTACATTCCCTATTTATGTTTTCCACTATTTTTGTGAAGTATTGTTCCTCCAGCACATCTGTGAGACCCCCTGTGTGACTTCTACATTTTAACAGAAAAAATAAGAAGTTCAGAGTTCTGACATATTAGATATACTTCTCTGTACTCACTCATTTTTGGAGCAGAGCAGAAGTTCTTAAGTGCTTTTTTTACTAGAATACTCCTGACAATACACTGGGAAGGGAAAAAAAGAACATAGATTCTGATTCTTTTTCTGTTCAATCTGTTACGACAACAAGCAAGACTTAATAAATATTTAGTATTGTGCAGATTATGCATTTGTGGGGGAGGTGCTTCTGTTCRCTGAGCATCATGTTTTATCTTGACAAGAAATTATTTTATTTTATAGTACTGTTCCTAGATGTGTGGACAAAATACTCTGTAAACAAATGTTGAAGTTTTTATATAGTCAGGAATAGGCAAGCTTCACCAAAGGTTGATAGCCTTTGGCCCAGAGCTCAAAAATGAAGATGTTACCTGTGCTGATTCCAGTGTTAAACTCCCAAGTTGTGTTGCTAACAGTAAGGAGAGGCAGCTAGTAATAAGTAGCTTATTCTATATATATACATATGTACAAAATCCAACCACATACATATATATATATATATATATATATATATATATATATTAAAAAATGGTAGTAGAGCAAAAAGGAAATTTGCAAGATTTGAAGGCGGATAAAGTAACCATACTTGGTTCTCTTGAGCAGTGCATCATAATACCTAATTATATATGATTAAAGATATTAATGTTAAATTGGAAAACGTTTACTACAATAAAGACAAGCAACAGGTCTAGGTCAGAATAATGGTGAAATGTCTTTCTACCTCTTTTCATTATCTCTAGTTATCTCAGATGGTCATCTTTTTAAAGTGTTTTTTTCAACAGAGCACTCAGTTGGGCTTGCTGGACCAAAAAAAGTCAAAAAGCAACATCCTGTTACTGCTGTTTATTTCTTCCAGTTTCAGTTTCAATCAGCATCATCCTGCTGTCTTGGCGCCACTGAGATCCTCCATAGTGATGGTTACCTGCTGTTACCTGCTGGCCCAATTTCAGAGTGTAAACAGCTAACAATAATGCTACTAAAAAAAATCAAGTGGCAATTAATTCTCTAAAAGTCCTGATTGTGGTAAGGTTTCTGTAAATCTTGTAAAAGTCTAATAAATAGGAAAGCTTTTTAGACAAGTGTCACTGATACATCAGGATGTTAGTTTTCATTTAAAAAAAAAAGGCAAGAAAACACAAAAATTTTCAGAATTTGTAAAATAAAAATGTCCTTCTCTACTGGAAATGAGATTTTGAGTAGGAGAACAAGAGCAGAGTGCAATGTGATAAGGAAAACAAGCAGAGACAGAAATAAACTGAAGAACAAGATAAACAGTTACCACAGTTGTTTTGGCCTCAGTGATTACTGGGCTCTTCTGTGCTAGGTTCTGTTCAGTGGTGCAGTAAATGGCAACTGCTGACTCCAAACCGTTGCACATTAAGGCTATATGTTCTGTCCTATGTATAGCTACAGTATTTATGTGCTTCCTCACTCCTTACATCTCCAGATACTTTTCTTTGGAATGTTTTTTCTTCTGTGTTAAGGCAGTAATATTTATTTTTACAGGCAGCTGTTTTGTACTCTATTCCATAAAAATCTTACCCAATGAACCCAAGAGACATTGTGTTAGAGTAGGTAATTGAATCTTATCTCCAAGTCTCAGTGTCCTAATCAGTGGCTAATACCTGATTTTGGTAAGTTCCAAGTCCTTTACTGGGGGGAGTGGACTTCAGCAAAGCATGKTAGTGTTTGCCAGTTTAAAACTTACGAGACTGGTGGAAAGGATACGGTTTTCAGATGACTCAATATAGTACTAAAAACAATAAAATGTATTTGTGGTAGCTAAAGACTGTGCCTTCAGSAGGCCTGCCAGTTGTGTTCCAAGTTGTAAGGAATTGAAAAAGCAGCTGAGAATRTATTAGTATAATTGTAGTGGTGATGGCTTAAGTATATTAAGAAGTGAGATTTTGCTTTAGAAAGAAATGGAGTCTCCTACCAGACCATTTGATGTCTTTGGAGAAAAGCAGGCATGTTTTTGGCCAGAACATCATGAAAATCTGTAGTAAGGTGTTGGAGGAAAAAGAGGTAATGTCTTGTAGAAATTGATGTTTCCCCCTGTATTCCAGAATATTGCTTGTGGGAGGGAGTGAAAACTTGGACATTGTTCCTGAAGTAAAATGCTTTTAAGGTTTATCAGTGCACGCTGCCTCACCAGACATACGAAGTTAAACTCCTCTGGGTTTACTGGAGGCTTTTCTTCTTGCATTGGTTGATATTCATCCTTTTTTTTTCTGCTTCACGTTTTTAAATTTATTGAAACTGTATTGTGCATCAAATTAAATGACTTACTGAACAGCTGTTGTGTATCTTAAATAACCATTTCAAAACCTTGCTATAAGAATAGAATCGAGAAGATTTGAGTTGCTACCTTTCAGCAGAGAGGGAGTCTGAATTGTTCCTAAAATATCTGTACAGTCTTTCCTTGACTCTTACTGTATTTCTTAACCGCAAAGCTTAATTATTTTTCAGGTTTCCTGTGCAATTATAGTTTGACCCCAAGTCTGGGTTGAACTTTTAAATGAACATTGTACATTATAACCTTGCACTGTAATCCTCATTTAGGAAAGCATGTATAAATTCAGATTGAATTGTTTTTATGTATAACTGCTGTTGAATAGTAAAAGGATTATGGATTTCCATTGTTATGCTCCATTGTCAGAGAAAGAGAAGGATGAGTTTCATAGAAAACTCTTCAGAACACATTAATTGGACAGTACATATCAAATATGGAAAAATGGCACTGTCCACGTATTTTGTTCAAAGTGKTTTTTTATCATCTTCTGCAATGCTTTTGTAAGACTTGTGGTTTTTCCCTGTTTGTGCTTCGCAGGGGAGTTCATCACAGCTTCAGTCTTGGACTGTGCAGCCATCCTTTGAAGTGATTCCAGCTCAGCCACAGCTAGTGTTTCTTCGTCCATCAATCCCACCTCCTATTAATCCTCACCCTGTTGGGAAAAAGAGAAATGACTCCGCTAATTACCTGCCCATTCTGAATTCTTATCCCAAAATAGCACCACAGCCCTGCAAAAGAGATCACTCCTTTGATCTAGAAGAATGTCAGGAAACCGCTTGCCATAAACGACTCTGCACAGARGCACCCAAGATGGAGACTTCTCCTGTACTGATGAGCACAGGCTTGCCTACTAGTCCTTTTGCCCACCTCCCAGTTAGCTTTAAGACCCCTCAGGATTCTAACCAGCAAAGTTCTTCAGCTCTAGTGACAAGTGGAAAACTGTCATCTCTTCCTGGTTTTCATTGTGTTTCCAATGACACTCAGAAAGTGCCAGGTTTGACTCCCCTTTTGCCTTTTGGAACTTTGCAGGCAACAAAGTGCACCCTGCATGACAGCGAGAGTGCTTCACAGACTACAATGCCATCTGCAGTGTGGAGCCCTCCATTGATACCAGAAGAGATTTGCACTRCCCCTGAGCTGCTCTTGCAGCAACAAAGCAAGTGCAGACGCTTTCAGAATACACTTGTTGTACTACGCAGGTCAGGATTGTTGGAAATCACTTTAAAAACCAAGGAGCTCATTCATCAGAACCAGGTGACCCAGGCCGAGTTGGATCGGCTGAAGCACCAAACACAGCTTTTCATAGAGGCAATAAAGAACAATGCTCCACAGTCATGGGCAGAGCTAGAAGCATCTCTAACAGGATCTGATAAAGCTAATAGCAACCTTGAAGACCCCACTTATCCCAATATATAGTAAAAAGGTGCATAGCTGTGGATCAGGTTATTATTGTGCCTCCTTTTTCCTGTCTTAAACTTTTATTTGAGCATTTTTGAGTCCAAGATTTGCAACGTTGCATTGCCATTAACAATTTGTTTTCAGAGCCAGGTGTGGGACTGGAAAAGCATGGTGGGTTRTAGACAGAATGGGTACCTAGTATTGCACTTCGGCCCTGGATTCCTCGCTAACTCTGTGTAATTCCTTGGACTCAAGAAGCTTCAATGTGCTCTGCTGGCATGTTACCATTCTTGAAGTGAAAAGGCAGTCATTTGCAGTATTCTGCAAGCATCTTCCTAATCCCATCTTCAGATAGTTGTTTCTGAGAGTGCAATAGCAGATCAGGCCCCTTTGTTGGGCCATGATCGGTTCTAAGTAGGTGAAGGGAGTTGGTGTGAGGTGAAAAAAGTCTTTCTCCCATCCCATTCCTTCTTTTTTTTATTTAGAGAAATCAGATGAATGTATTGGGGGTGGGGGATGTGTCAGCTTGGATAAACTCTAAAAAATTAATATACCTAAGTTTGAACTTCAAAAACCAAGCCCCAAAACATTTTTCCACTATATAGATTATAGCATTCCTAGGCTGCTTGTCTTGGGATATTGTTGACACCATTGTGTGCATGACATACTGACTTTGCTAGCAGAGAGCCACAGTAGTCATGTTACAAAAGCTGTTTTACAGACATTTATTTCATTGCAGTTTATCTAGACACTTTACATCATTCCCTGCAAGCTAAAGGGATTCTTTCCAGAGGCAGTTTATGTAGAAAATTGAGAACACCTTTGTCTAAGGACATTAAGGAGTCTGGATCATCTGTGATACATTCTTTTCTGTTTTCAAAAACTCATGCCATCTAGGTGACTAGGTATTTTAATTCTTTGATTCTTTCTGTCATGTGTTTCAGATTGTTAAAAAAAGAAACTTGAAAGCAGAGTGGATGTTTTGCTRATTTGTGACTAGACCTTTACATTTTCTGATGCCTCTAGGAATCAGTATTGCAGAAGACTCTAGAGAATACTTTTGTAGTCCTTCCTCAAATAGGTGCTTCAGAGAAATTGGAAGGGATTTCTCTCTTTTAAGGGATTATGTGCTTTTTACACTGATGAAAACATCTCTTAAAAATAACATCTCTTGCAACATCTCTTGAGGCATGTGAGTCCTGTCTGTACTAGCCATGGGCCTAGAGAGAAACGAGGTAGGGTTTGCCCTAGTGGAGCTGTAGCAAACTTGTAGCCATGCATTTCTTGGGATCCTGCCTACCTGCTGAAGACTGGTGCAGTACATGAGAATTGTTTAGAAGTGTTCATAGACTCTGTTCTGGTATGTGTTTTTTTTTAAATATACCTGCTATATTTGTGATACTACCGTGTTTCCTAACACACAGGCCAGCAATATCTAAATTCAGCCAACAAACCCAGAAAGCAGCACAGTGCAGTGTAATAATGTAGGACATGTCCAGTATAGACACAATCCTATCAGTTGTGATATCTGTGCCAAATGACATTTGGCAGAAACGATGTAGTGGTACCTTAGATCATTAATGGAGGAAGATCTTGTTTCATTTCAGCTTTTTGCAAGGAGAGGAGACAGTTCCATTGATCAGATAGATTTAATAGGCCTAGAAGTGTGAGTTATGAGAAAGTGCATAGGGTATTTTTCCTACTTTTCCTAAAGTTCTTATTCTACCTAATAAATTAAGTGGAGAATTTGAAGTTCAGAGTATGTATTTTTAGGAAGCGATTGCCCTAGAAAACAAGATGATGGGCTCAGGGTACCTAGAGATGAAAGGGAGGCAGAAAAAATGACATCCAATCTTAGCTGTTTGAGACAAGGAAAAATGAGTCTACTGGTGACCTTCTCCATTCTATTTCCACTGCTCTGATAGAATATAAAGGAATGAAAAACTTGCCTTGCAGGGCTGTACCCTCTGACTTAGGGAGACTTAGCTGATGGAAATCTCTAATAGGCCTTGTAGTACCACATGTATTTTTTCCCTGACAGTACGGAGGGTGGGCTGAAGTGGGTGTGCTTACAGCTAATGGGCCTTTTAACTGGTGTAATTTGTATAAATACATGTTTAATAAATCTGTGAATAAAGTCCAGCTGCTGGTTAAATATCTCTTACTGGGCATCAGTCCAGACTTAAATAGTATTTACTGAACTAGAAAAATCCACTGTGGAACTCATACTTAAATCTGGGCAGCCTTAGGAAGCATATCTCTAGATAATAGGAAATCTTGACACAACATCTATTTTTTAAAAAGGATGTTGACAGTCTCTGGTGATAAATATGTCATCAGGTACCATTCTGTTCAGTTTTCTTAGCTGCCTTTATTCCTGGAAGCCCTGATAAAGCTTTAAACAATAAGGCCTTTTTTTTTCTTGGTTGCCRTGTAATGAAATAGGTTAGCTTAGAAATGTGTTGAGAAAATTTGTTGACTACATAAGGGCCAGGATAAGTCCTGATTCTGGGCAGGATCTGGAAGTGTCCAGTAGATTTGAACAGAAGTATTAGCCTCTGAGTGGAAACTCTAAGCAATGAACAGTTGCTCATTGCAAAATCACAGATTTTGTTGATCTTTGAAGCAGCAAGATTTGGCATTAGGAAGTTAGCTAAAGGCAGCTGTCTCAGTCTAATCAGTCAATAGGGTGGCCGGCTGGCAACAAGTGGGGTAGCTTGATGGATCAGACAGACTGGTGTTTTTTTATTAAGTTTTAATAAGTRTTGGTATTTTTGATCACTTTTACTATGTCTTTTTGAAATTCTAATGTTCTAGTTGGAATGTAAATATTTTCTGTACTTTCAAAGTCTGTTAGCTCTGAATACAGTAGCCTAAGACCTCTGTTATAGAACATGATTTTTTTGCTAAAACTTTACAGAAACTGACTGTGAAATATGAATGAAATAAAGTATATACTTGAGAAGTTTGTGGGTTATTTAGTGCTGTTGAACTGCAAAGTCCCTGGTCCCAAAGCATGCTTTAAATACAGCTCCAGAGCAGCATGTTGCCCATGTGGGAAAGTGCAGATCCAAAAGTGATACTATGATGTATCTCTCTGAAGAGAGCCGTGGGATCTTTAATAGTATGTATGAATTAAAGGATCTCTGGGAGGAGCATGCATAGAAATGGGCTGTACAGAACTCTAAAAATATATTGTCGTGGGTGACCGCTGCCATAGATCTGTCATGAACAACCTGGAAGGATTTTTCCATCTCTGAACTGTTGTCTCTATGATGATTGTACATTATGCACACCGTCTGTGCAGGGTGAACTCCTACACTATGTCTTAATCCTGTCAGCTGGGTATGCAGACGTTTGAAATTGTGAAGTAAGAATCTTGGCTACTGAAAATTACTGGATTGAAAAAMATTTATACGCTCTTGAAGAACATTCTCCAACTAAATCTGTATACCAGCTTTTTATTAAAACACATTTCTTCAAAATGTGGCTGTCTTTTCATGGTCTTTCTTTTGTTCAAACATGACTCATGCAGGGAGAACTAGGAAGTCATGCCCAAAATATCCAGCAGACTTGTGGCATGAGATAGTGTTCTAAGATATGAGAGATTCTGGTTAAAGCTCTTACTTGGCACCAGACAAGGCAACTAGAATCTTACTGCCTTATATCCAAAAAGGAGTGCCATCAATTGAAATAATTTTATTTCCTGAGACTGGAAACACAGTGTTTACAGTTGTATGTTCATAAAAGTATGGATACAATTCAAGCAGGAAATTCACAGGTTTCTGTCTCTTCTCACTATCTTTTCCTTTATAAGGCAAAGCCTATCTGCAGCATGTCAGGCCTCTTCACCATTATTTCACTGAAGCCTAAAAGATGAATTCCTTCTTTAGGTGCATTGCATCTGTCTTGTTTTTCTTTCTCTCTCATGATAAAAACTGACTGAAAGGAACCGTACCCCTGCAGGCTTGGGCTGAGCAATCTCCTGGCATGTAAAATTTCTGGCATCCACTAGATTGAACATAGCATGCTGTTACTGGTTTCATTTTCATAATTTCTGGTACAGAAATGTAGGGTCTCTCCCTACCAACACAATTTCACATTCTTGCTGTACGTAGGTGATGCTTTTTTCAAATGGTGGGGTAATGCAGCCATGTAGTCCCAACTGTATTGCATGGTCCTACATGTCCAAAATGCTCATGCCCACTTCTCTTTTTAAATCTACTCCTTTGAGGTATTTCCATGAGAAAAATTTAACAGTTCCAGTGTAATCTGATTCAGAAGGCAGAAGGAAACACCATGTGTTCAGTCTGCTTTCTTGCAGAGCACATTTTCCAAAACTTCCTCAAAATTCTTTTTTGAACTAAAGCTGTTCTTAGAAGCATCCTGCATTGATTTGAATGCTCCTCAGATTAAGAATCCACCCAAACTGTTTAAAATACAATTATTTACTGTTAAACGCATGCCTCCTATACCGAACTTGAATTTGTCTTCTTTCCATATCCAGCTGTCAGAACTTTTGTCTGTTTGCTAAACTGAAGTGCCTGCTGTGACATTGTTTTCACTGTAGGCATTTACAAATTGAACAAGTCTCTCTTCAACGTTCAATCTKAAAATAAGTAAATAGACTCAAGTCTTTTGAATTTTCCGTTTGTCTGTGGCACTCTTCTTTGGATCCTTTAAAATAAGTTAAATGAAGTTTGAATTGGAACACTATTAGCAAAACCGGACTGCTAAAASAGTTGTATCAACTGTTCTTACTGCTACTCTACCTCATTTCTATAAGTCTTGGCCATGACATCAGATTGGAAGTCTAATCCCTGCACCTGTTGCTTCTGTGGTTGGTGAGCCCCTCTCCTGTWAGTATGTTCCCATGTTCTTTGAATCCAGTTTGCATCCAGAAAACAAAGCAAGGTGGTTTTAGGAAGTGGCCAGTTGTATTAATTAGTTTTCTCTGCTTCTCTCCTTTGAAACTTTCATCTTTAGATGAGACTTTAAAGGTAATTTTATCTTGTATTTTAATTATTGAAAATAATAATAATGTTACAGTCAAGAACCAATTTTWAAAATAAGCATAGAAGATTGTGCTTAATGGATGTCTSTATGCAATTCAGAAACCATAGTTGCAATGTATTTCATACCAGCCAGTTAATTTTGTATAAATCTGGCTTCAGTCTGTCATGTGGCACACTTTTAAATGCCCATCAGTAGTATAAATACATGTATGTTGGCTTAATCTTTAATCAATTTTTAAATCTAGGTGATCAAAAGGAGTCGGGTTTATCTGATCAGCTCTATTCTCAGCATCAGTAATTTCAATTCGTTTYCTGCTCTATTTGCTGGAATAATCAAGATTTATGGATTACTCCATTATTTTCTTTCAGTTGTCCTGCTATGTCAACTTAAATCAGTCTACCTATGCACTGAAAAGCTGATGCTGTATTAGTTCTTTCCTCACCTCTGTCCTCTGAAATCTTTCCTAGYATTGTGAAATTCACTGAAATAGTATTGGTAGTCTGGAGAGCTTCTTGATTAGCTCTGTTAAATTTTCAGTCACAACTTAGACTTGCTGAATTTTTAAATGCATAATAACTGTTGTTTGAAATGTTCTGAATTACTTTGTGAAGTGGAAATCAAGCTGCTGTTATGATCCGAGAAGAATAATATGTCTGTCTTTTTTCTAATTGCTCAACAGGAATTTTTGTGAAATGCTTTTGCCATTGTGCACTGCAGCAATATAATTTTTATCTTGAACTGAAGCACTGCCAACAAAGATTTCTTCTACATCTCATACATATTAAGAAATGGAGAAAACGGACTTTGCAGGGCCAAAAGGGGAGTTTCATCAACTTCTTCATTGTTTCCTCTGTGTCCTTATTGTGATTAAATTTATTTAGTTAATTGGAACTGAAACACTTCTTGCCATACTTAACACAATCTTACTTTTTTTCCATAGCAGTAGTCAGGACTTTTTTTAGACCACATACTAAGGCTAGGACTAAGAAATCCAAAGACAGAAAACCAATCCTTACTGTTTTTAAAYGGATACAACTGCTTGAAAAATTCCTGTTTCAATTGAAAACTCAGGTGTTGTTCTTGAAAATGTATTTTGTCTTGAAAGCTTAAGTGTTTTTCAGTGTTAGTCATAGCATTCTTTTTTTCAGTGAATCTCAAGCACTATGGAAATAGTCTGCATAGTGGGAAAGGGGAAAGATATTTCTCTAAAGAAATTAGGTAAACCTTCATCTCCTTTACCTGGATTGTTTTGGGTTGCCTGTACAAGAATCAGGACCCCAGCTTTGATGAGTGGTTCCACCACCTCTTRCTGAAGAAGCAAAAGCCCACATAGTCAAAACTACTCAGTTTACAATGGCAGAAGAGACTAATAGAGAGATCCTGAGTAAGTGAGAATGAACAGCATCTCCTGAGAAAATCAYTGGCTCAGTGAGTAAAAATACTGTGTTTTCACCCTAAAAATTCTACAAAAAAAATAGGGTTTTGTTTGGCACAAAACATCATGGTGCCAGATAGATGTTGTTCTACATGTGCCAGAAGCAGAGTTCAGTGCAGTGAGTATTTTGTGAAATGGGCAGTGTTTAGTGTGTGAAGTGTGAAATAAGAGTGGACAGTAGGAATGCTGTTTTACCCAGGGTGAATGTTAGCAATGCCTATTGTTTTGTGTTCTTGCTAAGTATTGTCTCCCATGCAAATGATAGTGTTATGCATATCCAAACATGCTTGGAAATCAGAATAGGATAGTCTGTATCAAAATGAAATTGGTTCTCACTGTTCAACATCCTATCACTAACTGTGCAGCACACTGACACATTAATGCTTTTTGGGAACATGCTGAAAGCAGGTTGCTGAGAATATTTGTGGGATAAATGGCCAGAAAGTATTCCAAAACATTTGATTGCAAACTGATTATGCAAGTATGAAAGTCTGAGCTTGATAGTAATCATGGAAATAGTGAAACGCCTCCAGATGTATAATGGGAGCTGCAGCCAACCCAAACTGGGACAAAGCAGAGCAAGTAACTGAACTGAGGTCTGTTGCTGCAGTGCTCCTGGTCCTGCAGTAGCAGTGTTTGGGTAGAGACTGTTAAAAGACTGTAGTTAAGATAGATGTTGTCATTTAGAGTGAGATGTTGGTGTACAGATAAACAAATGGCCCTGACTACCTTCTAGAAGTTCAGAAAAAAGGTGAGCAGTCTGCRCATGCACCTCATGGCCAAAGCCAAAGGCTCTGTTTCTTTGAAAGACTGGGATGCAAAGGTGAAACCTGCCTGCACATTAAAATTGTTACTCGGTTAACTTTTTTTTTTTTTAGCCAAACTTAAAACAGTGGTATTAGGAAAAGCAGAGTGCTATACTACCTCTACCTGATCCTGGAGCCAGCAAAGTTATATGAAGGATAATTGCAGTTTCTAAAGCCACTTTTCCTGTTTCCACATTATAACATCTCTGTCTGCAGATGCRCACCTCAGACAAGTATTAGTATGAGGAATGGAGGAAAACACCCCACTGTTCTCCACATCTTAGTTTCTTTTTGGACATACTTTTGTAATTTCTTTATCACACCCTGTTCTGTTGCAAAATGAGTCCTTGACACACCATTTTTCAGTAAAGGGGCTACYGCATCCATTTTAGGTCCCCTCAAAATAGAAATATGACTAAAAATAAGTCTCAATTTGCCTGAAATTGTTTCTGTTTGGGATAAGAACAAGTATAGCAGCACTCAATTCTTCTTGGACTCCTCATACATTTCCATGGCATCCAAGCTCCAGGTGAGAACTTCTTTAACATAAGCACACATAACAGCATGAAATTGATACTGTCAACTATGTTCACATTTAATGTCCTACGTGCTTTTGGACTTCTTAACATATTTTGAAAATTGCCCTGGTCTCTTTCTTACTAACCTGAAGATGATCTCAATGAAAATGGATGTGTAGCATCAGCTCTCAGTCTTACTTTAGTGACTACTGCTAATGTTCAGTATTTCCTTGGCATGAGAAAGTATGTGGTTTTAATTCACACACTCTTCTCAATGAACTGTAATTTTCCATTGCTTTCTACAGTCTAAATTGTCACATCAGGTAGAAGATAAAATAAGAGAACTCGGAGTGAGGGACTGGTTGCCATATGGTTGACACCTAAAATCTCAGCAATTTGACATGAAGGAAGTAGAAAAAGATGAAGTAAATTCCACAAAATTAATGCCATAAGTAGGTGGCAACTGTTAGTTAAGGAGAAAGAACAAAGGCAAAGGAAAGGAAAAGAATATTGAACAAACTCCAGTGTTACCAAAGATTTTTCTCACAGGTGCATGAAAATAGATTTTAAGGTAATTGTCCATACAGTAGACCAGTTTTCCAGGTTTCTTTTTAAAAATCTGGTTTTTAAACAATTTTTTTTCCCCATTTGATTTAAATGTATAAACTGAAATGTACCTTGGTGGTGGAGATGAACTAAC